CTGACTATAGCCCCACAGTGGGTCAGTTAAACTGGATGTCCTGACTATAGCCCCACAGTGGGTCAGTTAAACTGGATATCCTGACTATAGCCCCACAGTGGGTCAGTTAAACTGGATGTCCTGACTATAGCCCCACAGTGGGTCAGTTAAACTGGATGTCCTGACTATAGCCCCACAGTGGGTCAGTTAAACTGGATGTCCAAGGTTTAACATGGTGCTGCATGAAGGACGAGGTTTAAAACACAGTTATTCCTAAAAGTGGATATATTATTCATAATCCACTTTTTTAGCTGTTAAATGTATTTTTGTCTCTACAAGTGCAGAAAAGATGAATTTAGTCTCTCCTGATGTTTTGGTCATATTGTTCAGTTTTCTCTATTTTCTCTGATGTTTTCTGAATTATTACATCATATTATTGCAACAGAACTTTCATATCAGATCTGGACTTATCAACTACAATTTAGTGGTCTTCGGTCTTCTCAGACTGTGGATCAGACTTTGGGTCCAACATGGACAAGTCTTCCTTTATTGGCACATTTTTATTAATTTGTAGATAAAAAGTTTCTGCACAGCTATATAGTCGTAAACCCCTGTATCAAACAGACTGGCCTGAAGCACAGAGTGTGTGCCCTGTAGCCTCTAAACGAGTCGATCTGAGACACCCCACTTATTGCGTGTTCCTTGCAAAAACAGTTTTGCTGTAGTGTATACATCTCCTGCTTGAAATATTTCCTAATTTTGAGTAGGATGATTGGAAAATGTTGTTTACCTGGTTGTGTTTTAACATTTGCACAACTTAATGATGCTGACCACAGATTTTCAGTCTGAAAGTCATCTGAGATTATTGCTCCAGTAAAGTCTGAGTCTGCTGTGCACAGTTGTAAGTCGGTGTACTTTTTGTGTGTTATTTTTAAGCTGTTGTTAAACGAAGWATGTTCTTGTTATAAGTGTGTTTTATTTTTACAAATAGCACGGTGGCTCATTTGGTAGAGCTGATGCCTCTCAGCAAGAAGGTTGCTGGATTAAATCCCGGCCCGTAGACCTTTCTGGGTAGAGTTGGTATGTTCTCTCTGTGCGTGTGTGGTTACTCCAGCTTCCTGCCACAGACCAAACACATTAACTGGTAACTCTAAAWTTTCCCTAGGTGTGAGTGAGAGAGTGAATGGTTGTTTGTGATGGACTGGAGACCTGTCCTGGTSTACCCCGCCCCTTGCACAGTGACTGCTGGATAGGGACAGTGATCCTGAAGGGAAGAAGCAGGTATAGATGATGGATGGATATATTGTAAATGAACAAAAAGTTTGTGAGAGCTGTGAGATTTGCATTGAGTATAAATAACAAATATATTGCTTTAAAAAACAGAAATGTACAAGTAACTTAACTCGTCTCTTTCCTGTCCCTCAACCAGCCGGTCGAGGCAGATGGTCTCCTGTCCTGAGCCTGGTTCTGCTGGAGGTTTCTTCCTGATTAGCAGGGAGTTTTTCCTCTCCACTGTTTGCTCAGGATGGGAGACTGTGATGAAGAGCTATTTAAGTTCAAGCCATTTACCTTGATCTTACTGTCCATCTTAACACCCAGATTAGTAACAGTAGACTTCACATAGCCTGTCAAAGGACCTAAATC